CGAGTGTAATGGTATACATATCGTCTCAAAAAGCCACGGACATTGAGTATCGTTTCCTTGTAAGAAACTCGGATTTGGTATTAGTATCCCAAGACCAGCACAGTGATATGCATCACGTGTGGGAACCTCGCTTCGAACGATGGTCCTTTAAAAGTTAGATATTTGATTATCTTCTTTTGTCAAACGATCTTCGGGAGTTGTTCTGTAAAAAAACTAGTCTTGACTTTTTCTGCCTATTTGCACTATTATGTTAAGACTATGCGCAAATCAAAGGTTGGCGACCACTTTTTCTAGCTATGAGACCAAATAAAGGATCTGGATAAAAAGTCACTGTGAAACTATTTTTTTTTCGAGCTAGAAAAGTAAGTAGCAACAAAGTCATGTAATGGAAATGTTACCATTTGCATGTTGACATCTCTAAATATCAAGTAGATGCACAGTAATGCACGTAACCTACCTTATGCTGCAGAAAAGGTACAAAATTTGTGAAATACATAACTCGATAGAGCAAATCAAGCCCCTTAAGAGTTCAAACAATTAGTACTCTGCGTTGATACCACTGCTTGATAATCGAATAATAGATAATCGAAAAGTAAGGAAGAAAAATTGAAAAATTTTTAAATGCTCAAGAGTCGGATCTCGTATAGAAAAATCCCACAAACCTCTAACTTGCTCAAGGAAGTTACTTGCCGCATCATTCATGCCTATGTACACTTGCTGTATTTTTCGACGGCCAGAAATAGACCATTTCATACAACAGTTCAGTGTAACCATAGTTTTCAGCCTTCTGCAAACGTTATTTGTAGAGAAACATCAAATTCATAAAAATAGTATATACATAAATGTCTGATGTTTTTAGTATATGGTTGACCAAGGTGGTTGCTTTCATGACCTTCAGAAATCCTATCTTTGGTTGATCAAAACTATTTAATTTTTTTTCAAAATTCGCGTAAATCGAACCTTTTGCAATCTTTCAAAAACGTCTTATAGTGCTTGCTTTGCTTTAGCTAATGATTTATCTTATGTTAGATTGACGGATAATTTCTGCTGCACTTTTATTTTTATTTTCCAAAAATCTGAGAAACGAAAATTCTCATGTTTGAGGAGTGTTGACGGAATGCAAAGGTCTACCCGCCGGCACTGTCAGATCCGCGGTCCCCGCGCAAAACACCCATTATCAGTGGGAGTACGTTTTATGGACATTTTTGTCAGCGGGCTGGCATTCTTCCAAGTGATCAAAGAGAAACCCGGGCGACGTGGTATTCGGGCAGGGTATGTTTCATGGTTTTTAGCGAATGTGGGGAGATGACACAATCATGTCCGCACACGATCACATGAGCTGCGTGTTGCGCCATGTCAGCGCACATTCGCATTTCAACCTGAAGAACAATTTTCAAGAATTCACAAAAATTATTTTCAATCTCAACGTATCAAATTCTACACTATGCGCATGAAAAGAAAAATTTTCGATTAATTTTTTGATTTTCTTGACTTGTTTTCACCCCTTGTTTGGCGTGCTAGCGGCACCAAAATGCTGCCATAAAAGAGGCAATGCGAAAACATGCTCCAAAAAATTAGGGGGAAAAAACACAACTTGACGCAAAGAAAAAAATCAGAGAAGAAATGACAACTTTAAGTGTTCTTATAAAGTTGTCTTAAACTTGCTGGCTATTTGTGTATTTGCGGCACCGGTCTTACTGTTGTGTGCGCCCTGCCGTGGCCTACATATAGAGCAACTTTGAATATTCTAGATGAGTTCTAGAATTTTTTTGGAATTTTACAAAAAAAAAGTGTAACAGAAATTATCCGCCAACCTAATACATTTTCATGTCTTCTCCGCCACTTCAGGGTAAGGAACATGCATAAGTTTTGCATCAACCTAATGGTAAATTGAATTTCAATATTTCTCTGAAAATCAGCTAATGTCGGAGGAGATGAAAACATAGGTTAACATCGCCGATCATTTGAATGACCACGAACGAAGCCGCCAGAAAAACACAGCAGCTAGAGGAAGAAAAGATACGTCAAATACAGCTTGAGACCTCAGTTGCCTTTCTTTACTCCCAGAGACCAAAAGAAAGCAACTTGATCAACCTTTACAAGCAATTAAAGGTTGCTAATATCCATTCAGACAAATGACCGGAACTTCCTCAGAGCGCTTGCGGAAGTTCCGCCGGGTCACCTGCGGAAGTTCCGTAAACGTGCTGCGGAAGTTCCGAGATGAGGCGCTGCTGAAGCTCCGAAGAATGCCAACCACAACAGCAAACGAGAACACTGAAGCGAGATTTGAACCTCACTCTATTGACTGTGAGACTGAGACCCACCTACTACCCTCTACGCTACGGCTGACATGTTTGATAATGCACTCTAGTTGTTGGCGAGCAGCATCACGAGACAACACATTCAAAGTTCTGCGGAACTTCTGGCAGTCCAAAGTGCTGCGGAACCTCTGGCATTTTTCGGAATTTCCGCAGGATTTTGATGAAGGTTCTGCGGAAGTTCCGGTTCAACCAGTTTGGCATGAAAATCGCGCGGAAATTCCGATTCTCAACGTTTTCATTTCTGCAATAGTGAACAAAATCCTGCGGAACTTCTAAAATTTGGCTTGTCCTGCGGAAGTTCCGGTGATTTGTCTGACAGGGAAATGGTCAGAAGTCGAAGTGGCCAATCCAAACAAGCTGCATACCGTTCGACGCAGCATAGAACGCTGATTTCAAATCTATCTTCCATATGTGCAGAGCGCCTTTACAGGCGAATTTATGAGCAGCTTTACTGCGAAAAAATCATACACAAAAATTGCGAAATTAGGCATATTATTACCCTCTAAGCTCACCTCTAGATACGATCCATATGAAGTGACCTACTCGCATGTTTTGGTTCAGCACTGAGCCGTGAATGGCTTTGTACGGCCAAGTTTGCCATTTACACGCACAATTTCTTAGCAAAATAATGGCGTTTAACGGTTTATAAGTCTGTCCACAAAAGTGCTCTGCAGAGAAGACAGATTTGGAGTCAGCGTTCTATGCTGCATCTAATGATAAGTAATTTGTTTGATTTAACCACTTCGATTTCTGACCATTTTCTTGTGAGCAGTTGCAATCGCTAACCCAAAAATCTTCATTCTGAGTATGATTTGTGATGACTCCCACAGAGTTTTTCTTACACCTATGATTAGGGATGATATGGCACTATCAATTCTACATCCTTTGATTGCATAAATATAATGTATTGATTCTAGAAATACGCTTTACTTTGTATGACAGACTCCTATTACGCAAAAGCAATCATAAGTGTAATCCCTGTAATTGAAATTTATCTTGCGACTGTGATGAAACGATCTATTTGCACCCTTTTGTGGTAATGCAGAGCAGTTGACTAGATTTCATGCAATAAATTACAAAAGGTTTTTTCAAGGCACTGTAATCTACAGATCGCGTTCATATGAAATTTGCAATAAAAACAGAAAGGTTGATGTTTTCTCTTATGGTTGTCGAAGAGCAACGCCTTTCATAATGAAATCAGTCCTTAACACATTGACGACCATGCAGATTTTTAGTTGCCTGCCGTCTGGGACCAAGCCCTTTTACGGACCAGCCCACAGTTATCAACTATAATTACGCATAGTGCCATCTACAGTACACCTACGGTAGACCTGAAAGGCTGACAAAAAAGGTAGAGGTCATCCCTAGATTCAGTGCAAAAGAGAGCTAATGGAATGAGTTTATCCCAAGATAGTAGTCATTTTGACAGAATTCAAACCTTGACACACATGGTGTATCAGGCGGTCCCACGCGGCAGTCATTGCTTGACACACCATGTGTGTCAAGCTGTCGTCAATGTGTTAAAGGCAGTGTCCCACCAGACTGGGGGTATCTGGCTCTTGTAATGATGTGATAGTAGACCCCCTACCTAAGCGATCACTGAAGTTCGGAGCGAACAAGGGGGTCTACCAAGCCTGAAATTTGTTCCAAAAGTGGGCCGAATCTTACGGTAGGGCCGGACGCCGCCCACACGGCAATATCGATTTGGGCCAGAGTGCGTATAGCGCATATAGCGCATACATCATGAGCGCAGGTATCCGCAACAACTCTGCGTCTCCACCTTGCATGCATTCGTACTCGCCCGAGCCTACCGTAAGATTCGGCCCACTATCGGAGCAAATTTCAGGCTTGATAGACCCCCTTTCTCGCTGTCATCGCTTAGGTAGGGGGTCTACTATTTACATCATTACGAGAGCCAGGTACCCCCAATCTGGCGGGACGCTGCCTTTGTAGGCAGCTTCCCGGCAAATCTGGGGAGGGGATGGGGATTTTACGCGGAAAGTAATTTGGGGGCCCTAACTGCACTCCCCAAGTAGCAGCGCAGGTGACTCGCTAACGGCTGAGACATACGCCTCCAAACAGGATCTCAGGATCGTATTGCGCATGGATTCATGGCGCAACCCATCATTTTCGCGTGGGTCCGCGCGCGAAAGTGATGGGTTGCGGCAGAATTCATGCGAATACGATCCTGGGGTCCAGTTTGGAAGGGAAAAGCTCAGCTGTTAGAGCACTACCCGAGCTGCCAGTTGGGCAGTGGTTTAGTTAGAGCCCCAAAATTACTATCCATGTGAGATCCCCGCATGTCCAGATTTGCCTGGACGCTGCCTTTAACGACGTCTCGTCGAGTGTTGACGTTTCCGTAATCATTCTTGTCCTCGTGGAGGCGCAATGACGATCGCTTTTTTCCTTTTTGAGATATATTCATCTCGTTTTTCTTTTCACCTTCAAAACTAATCAAGCAAATCGCACTCTGTGTCCCATCAAGATAACAATCTTTTAAAGTGCAATATGCGCTTGCAATTTTTCTGAAAACGTTTTCAACATGGTGCCCTGATCAACATCTTCCTCAATCAAGTTTTTTCTATTTTCACATTTGCTTACATGTAAGAAAGCATGTTTTCTGTTCATGATTCAATTAAATAATAATTCATTATTCCCTCAAATGTTTATAATGCTATCATGATAGGCCGCGGTGAAGGTATGAAAATGATCAAGCGGATACGTCTGATACGAGTTCAAAGCATCTTGGACATCTTCGTTCTAATTGCGGCATTAACCTTAACGATTTTTGTCTGGTGAGTCCTGTCAAAAAATCCTCGCTTACGTTTGAATCTCCGTAAGAAGTGTATATATTGTTCCTCAGCTCAACAAGATTTTCGAAGTCTTTTAAATGCAGTTTTCCTTTCCATTTACCATCGTATTCGCAGGTCAACGCTCTTCCAGACGATGATGGTGCAAAGGCATCTTAGCATTAGCACGCGTCTGCGCCATCACCGAGTGCTTCGACGGTAAAGGGCAAAGACCATGGAAGAGGGCGATAATCTAACCTTGAGCTCAAATAGTAGAAGGTGTAGATCGCCCACGGGCAATGTTTTACCTTAAGACATTGACGACAAGGCCAAATTTTCGATTACTGCCATTTCGGACAGGAGCCTTTTTTGCTCTGCCAAACTTACGACCCACCCGTGGCCGTATTGTCCGAAATGGTAGTTTTTTTAGAAGAAATTCAGAACATGTCTCCGAGAATTTCCCCACAAGGGTTATCGAACGCGATGATTACCAAAATATGATTTATTTCAGTTTTTGGCGTTATACGGTAAGGTTACGGTAGTCATTCTGTACGGACCCAACATCATATATTTTCATGAAATTTGTGTATTGGGGTTATTTCACGTGCTGATCACGATTATAGTGTCCAATTTGTTCACTACATTCTCACGGTGAGACTACGGTAGCAGTACGGTAGAATTTTCGTACAAGTCAAGAAACTGGTGTTAGAAGGTGGTATCAAAACTTGAGACTATCATTTTCATAATCAACATGCTACAAAACCTATATGTGCAGAGTTCGAGCTTCCTAGGATGAAAAATGCAAAAAATCAATAAAATCAATGAAATCGATAATTTTTTGATGGGCTAACGTCAGCCTCTTGCCCGCCCCGTATTACTCTTACATGTAATTGATTCTCCAGAAACAGCATCATTTTGAGAAGAATTTGAGCTAAAGCTTGTGCCTTATATATATCTACCGTATACTTACCGTAACATTACATTACAGTACCCCGAGCCCGGACCACTCTGGCTGGAGCTTCACCTAAGTGCCGCCAATCAGGTGCCAGAACCCCGTAGAATTCGTCGTAAACTGGCAAGGACAGCGCTTCATGAATCTTACGACCCACCGGTGGGTCGTATTGTCCGAAATGGCAGGATCCGTACGACCCACCGGTGGGTCGTATTGTCGTCAATGTGTTAAATGATCTATAACATAGTCGAGCAATCAGATTTTTCTGCGTGTACGGAATATTTGCCGATGTTTGAGCAACAAGATCAGAATGTATTTCTGTCTGTACGTCACTCTCACATAGGTTTTTGTAAGTTGCTGTTAAATTAATGCGCGTTGCTTCCAACTCTTTTATCTAGAAGACGCAGTTTTTGAAACTTGAAATTGAAGACCGGCCTTGAGGGCCGGTCTTCAATTTCAAAACCTGCGTGCCCGGGCAGGTGCGAGATAACGATTTACTTGCAGAGTATATAGCGTCCACCAACACAATGCTTTTGATATCAAGTCCCATCTTAAACTTTCGCTCCCAAAGCGAAATATTCTAGAAGCTTTGACATAGCCGCACCATCGTGTGCGGGCCAAATATGCCCGTCTATCAAGTGATTTCTGCAAGGTAAAGTGCGCATATCGCACACAACTTAATTTTAAATTGCCACAACGTTTGAACCTGGTGTCCATACGTCCTGTTTCGAATCCGAGGTATTTGGAAAAAAACTTTTTCGACAGTTTCACTCTCGCCAGCTGTATTTTAGGGATCAGAAGAAAGGTCAAGCCCAGTTGAGCGAAAAACTCATCAGTAGACGTTTGCCCGAACGTTGTCTTCAGAGGCAGTGTCCGAGCAAAAAACTCCAGTCCACCATTGAATCGGACTATAAGTAGGGCTACAGTTTCTTGAGAAATAAAAGCAAGTTAAGCGCAAATTCGTACCATATCAAATGTTCCATTTGTCCCTTATAACAATGTACTTATCAAAAGTTCTCAGTTTCAAATCTCCTGGCGTTTTGAGCTGCCGTTATTAAAATGATTACACTTAGGATTCATTACTCCCGTACTTTTCGTGACATCTTCTTGAAGACCTCAACCTGCATCGATTCGTCATTTAGGTATTTTTCTCAAATGTAATATTTCACCATATCTTTCGGTCATGTATGTTAATACTTCCAGAAATACAATTAAAACTGCAAAAGGAGTTAGAACGTATGAAGAGATTGAGAAAAATGTTTTTATACCGAATAATTACAAAATGGTAAAGGCGTCCTGTCCTCTACCAAGACTGGATTTTGTGATAAAGCCAACATGTGCGAAGGTAAACTACCTACCTGTCTGATATAACCACGATTACTACAAAACCGTAAAAATGCTCTTAAGGTTTTCGAAGAATGGATAGAAATTGCTAAAAGACCTGCGCCAAAATTTCCACCTAGAAAAATTAAAGAATCCGATATGAACGCTTTTCTCATGAACGGATATTCGACGCTTTACGAGGTCAAAGAGCGTCTGTAATGTTGCTTTTATAAATTACTTGATTGCAGTATAAATACCGCTACAACAAAGTGTTAATCGAACCCGTAGTTTGGAATAATATTGAAAATATGCTTAAGATGCCTAGCAGCAAACTACTGCAATATGGTATACAAGGAAGTAAGTTGGAGACTTCTTCTTGAGAAAACTACAAGTTTTGGCTTAGCTTGTTTCAAAAGTTCTAACCGTTATGAGCTCATCTTCGTTTCAATACTTGTAAGTGTGACAAGTGCGTACGATTAGCAAAACCTAGCGTACACAATTTACGTGCAGCAATTAAAAAGATTTCCTCTTAAGAATCGCCTGAGCAGTAAAACTAATTTTTAATAAAAATTTTTCACAAGAATTTACCGCAGAATATTCGGGAAAACTCATGTATTTCGTTCTTTTTGGAACAGCAAATAAGCGAGTTTTTGTACAGTTTTCTTCTAATCTCAAATGTCCTAGGCTCAGTCTTGCTGTTCACAACAAAAGTTTTGTAATCGCAGCGCGCTTATAATTTTTAGGCTAGTTATAAGGGCCATAGCAACAGATATGTTTGGCCGAAAGTTTGGCCCAAAATTTTTCGAAAGCCATGATTCGATGATCATTTAGTAGGTCTCCAGAATTAAACACATGTTTCCAAAAGATTAAAACTCTTCCTTCGTTCTTTCAAGCTATGGAACCAAAGATTGAGCGCGAATAAGCTATAAGAAACTAGAAAACGAGCTTTTTTGATGTAATTATATGCATATAAAAGGTGATATTCTTCAAAGCAGCAATATAGGAAGAATCGGAACAGGTAGAATTTCTAAAGTAATCCAGTGCATAATAAAAAACTCGGTCTGAAAATCTACGTACAACGTGATGAAACAGTTTTCCACTCTATGCTAGCATTCAATGATTATTTCTCCACGCTCTCAAACCGTTTATTCTAGATGTTTAGGGGTCTTAGGGCCGCATGCACAAACCTCCCCGCTGGGGAGGGGATCGCAGCTTAAAAGAAAGCTTTATATTTCATAACTCCAGATACCTGGATTTCACGTTGTGTACTTATCCGTAAGTATTCCTACTACCCTTCACTGTGAACATGTTGAACAGGAGCGAGAAGCTGTACGAACCGCATTTTCCAGCTCTCGTATGATCCCTGAGGATCCCCGGCGCTTTTCTTTAAAGTCATTTTTCTTTCTCCGAAGTTAACGAAAACCTTTCAAAGTTGTACCGCACATCTAACACAGCAGTGCCAAGCATGTTGCTGATGAGAACAAATAAGTTTTTGAAAAGTCGAATTTTCCGGTAAACCTCAAATTTCGACCTATGGATCATCGAAAATTTCATGACTTCAAAACATCATTTGTTCTTATCAGCAACATGCTTAGTACTGTCGGGTTAGATAATTTGCACAACTTTGGAGGTTATTCGTTAACTTCGGAGAAAGAAAAATGACTTTAAAGAAAAGCACCGGGGATCATCAGGGATCATACAAAAGCTGGAAGATGCGGTTCGTACAGCTTCTCGCTCCTCTTCAGCATGTTCATAGTGAAGTGTAGTAGGAATACTTACGGATAGGTACACAACGTGAAATCCACGTATCTGGAGTTTCGAATTACAAAGCTTTCTTTTAAGCTGCAATCCCCTCCCCGCGGGGATGTTAGTGCATGCGGCCCTTAGACAAGACATCAGTATTTCCAGAAGCTGTATACCACGCCTTGCACAATCATCCTCTCAAAAATCTGACCGGCTTCGTACTTGGCTCGCAAAATCCCTGGATAGAATTAGAAGCTCTACGTAGCGGTGCTAATACGGTAACTTTTATGTTAAAGCATTGACTTACAAATAACAATGTAGCTGAAACAAATGGTAATGGTCTGACAAAGCTATATGTCCAAAAAGCGCTTATATAAGCAAAAAACTCAGTATCCGTTTGAGATACTGGAGCGAATGCAAAATATAAAGATCTCTTCTTTTTTCTTTTACCGTGGAGTGAGAGATTCAGACAAAGAGCTTGCAAAAGTAGTTTGCCAAGTTGGGAATGCAATATTGGAGGCAAATTATGGGCAATCTTAAATCATCTTGATCGAGCATTCGAGCTCGTTGATAGTACATATCCTAGAGCAAATGATCAACAAAGTCCGCAAATCATGACTTGATTTGCAATTTAGTCAGCATATACGTCGCTATACTTTCAACTGACAAGGGAATGGTCAGAAGTCGAAGTGGCCAATCCAAACAAGCTGCATACCATTAGATGCAGCATAAAACGCTGACTCAAAATCTGTCTTCCTTATCTGCAGAGCGCTTTTGTGGACGAAGTTATAAGCCGTTGAAGGCCATCATTTTGCTAAGAAATTGTGCGTATAAAGTGCAAACTTGGCCGCACAAAGCCATTCTCGGCTCAGCGTTGGACCAAAACATACAACTAGGTCCCTTCATATGACCCGTACCTATAGTTGAGCTGAAAGAGCAGTAATGTGCCTAATTTTGCAATTTTTGTATTCGGTTTTTTCGCAGTAAAGCTGATCATAACTTCGCTTACAAAAGCGCTCTGCAGATATGGAAGACAGATTTGAAATCAGCGTTTTGTGCTGCATCGAATGGTATTCCATAGCTTGTATGGATTGGTCACTTCGACTTCTGACCATTTCCTCGTGAGCAGGGTTTCATTGCTTCCGCGACATTTTCATGCCATTTTTTATTTCATATTCTGCGTTCGGGCACAACCTATAGAAATAATCAGGGACTTGGTTTTTCGCAAGAACTCAAGATGCTAAAATTACAATACCGCTCATAATTCGTCAAAAAAGTCGCCGGACTGCGGCGCACTCCGCCACACTCCGGCGCGGTGCGCCGGAGTGTGGCGGAGTGCGCCGCAGTCCGGCGACTTTTTTGACGAATTATGAGCTGTACTGTATGCTGGGGTGAGTGATTATCTGAGAGCTTAACGGTCATTTGCATAGGTCGATCACTTTCATAACGGGTTGGCTTGCTTTACGAGTAACACTGAGGGGATTATAGAGTAGTTAATTTGCAAACTGTATGGTAATATCATTGTCTTCGACTTATCTAAGTATACAGCACAGGTATACACTGTCGAATATAAGAAAATAACTGTAATAAATACTGCTAGGATCAAATATATACATCCGATGGCTTTGGCGAAACAGTGGCGAAAGTGAGCACATCATTTTTAATAATAACTGCTATATTTGACTTGTTACTTCAGAAATTTGGAAAAATTTGATTTTGCCATCTCGTTCTCCTCAATTGAGCACAGTGGATTAGGAAGGTGAGCTAATGAATATGTAGTAGAAAACACGCAATTTATTTCTGATCTAGATACGGTGACAATATAGATCCTAATGGAGACTTAAGGGAGGTCGCGAAGATTGGGTGTTTGTTAAAGAAAGGAGGTAAATGAGCCCCATTTACTGATTAGCATAAACTCTGCATTACGAAAATCGTAGCTTTCACTTGAGGATTATTCTTTCTTGGTGTCCCGAGAGGTGAAGACGCTATAAAGTACAACAGGCATCGATATTATGGACGTATGCGGTTAGCAATGGTAATGACAGGTAAGAGGAACTTTGCCCGTCATTAAAAGTCAAAATATTTATTTCTCTCAAGGTTTCGAATGGCTAGCGACATACAGAGAAGACACACCTTATTCAGTGCTGCCTAGTCGAGAAGATTACGAAACTGTAGACCGACAAAACCATGATCTCTTTGTTTTGAAGAAACTATAATCTATCGTGGACTATTTTGTGTACGCTGCTCCAAATCTGCGATACTTGAAGACACAAGCAGGAGCAGACACAAGCAATCTGACAGGCATAATATAGGGAAAAAATGCTAAGAACAAAGCACTTCAATGAAAATAGTCGCTGAGTTAAAACGCCTGAATGTTCCAAAACAACGAAAAAAATCTCATGCAAGACTTGCATAGTTTTCCTTACAACCCAATCTTACTTATGAAGTTTAAATAAGAAGTTGATGTGTCAATAACGCCTTACATTCTTGCTGATGTATATCAATCCGTTTCTGCTCTACCTCAAAATTAGTTAACTTAAGAAGGCAATGACGGAGACAGAAACTTGTGACTCTGCTTAGCTGTGCTTAAAAGATTGCCTTAAATCTACATAGGTTGCTGACCTAGGGTCAACTTTCGAATTTTCTTTCAAATTAATGTCAATTTTATAGCGCAACAAAATCGGAATGAGCAGGACCTCGTATATAGCAAACTCACATATTCAGATCATTGTTTCAAAGCTATATCGCAACAAAGACGTTAAATTTAGCATTCATCATATATGGAGCATAAAGGAAAGTTTCATCAACCCTTTCATAGTCGTCCTCAACATTCGGAACTTCGGAGAGTTTAGCAGTTGGAATACCTGTATTATCTTGCTTCGTGCTTTAGCAAAATCCAAACGTAAATATGATGCCGCTTCAGTCAGGTATGGCACCAAGGGGCCATGTGAAAATGAAGTTGTTCTTGAAAAAAAAACAGTATTAGGATATCATAAGTAGTGTAAGCATCAGGATTTTAATGAAACCTGCCCAGGAAGAGTGCAAAAATATGAAGGTTTCGTGAGAAAACCTCAGTACAAATTTTAGACAGCTTTTTTGTGAATAATGGATGCATATGACAAAAAGGGACAAAAAGCTGAGGTGAACTTTCTTCACGTCACAGAATTCTTGAATATCGGTATGTTTATAATCCAAAACAATTTACGAGTTGTCTACGATAGGCTGTTCACACTTTTCCTTTTCGGTAAAGAGAGAGAACAAGATTGAGCTTAAGAAGAAAATGTTAACCAGTTAAGTAGTATATTGCATTGCCACTCAAAAAACGTTGCTTGTTAAAGTGCCAGAAAGATCTGCTTTCCAATGTTCTGCGCAAGCATAATGCTCACACAAAGTGCTAAACAGTTGAAATGTTTTTAAAGCTTACTCTGATGGTTGAATATAGCTGATTTTGTTTCAAATTGTACTCACCCTTTGTTGGAGCAATAAGGCTGTCCAGTAGCAGAATGAAGTACTGATCTGCAGAGAAGTCAAGTGGTCAGGTATTGCACCATGGCTCTAGAAACACTTTAGTCAACTAGTTTGAAAGCAGTGGCGTACCCAGGATTTCGGCTCGGGGGGGGGGCGCGACAAAAAATTTTTTCTAAAGAAGGTGCGTGGCGTTAGCCACGCACTCCGAAAAAATTTTTGGGGTGCTTCTCAAAATTTTTCCGGGTCCCCGACCCCTAAAATCTGGAAAAAGGGGGCGTGGCGTCAGCCACGCCCCCGAAAAAAAATTTTTTATAAGGCTAAAATGAATTTTTAAAAAATTTTAAAAATTATTTCAATTATTTACAAGTAAAAATAAGTCACTTGCACATTTTTATAACCCATGTAAGTAACTTTCAAAAATTTCGCGACCCGTTCTAGGGGGGGGGGCGCGCGCCCCCCCCCGCCCCCCCCCCTCGGTACGCCACTGTTTGAAAGTTATGATTTATCTCATCTAAGTAGCATGATTTTGATCACATCCCACTCACTTCTCAGTGGGAAAAATAATAACGAAGTTGATCCAAATCCAAACGAAGTTTTATTCATAACAAATATTATATTTTACATATACTCATATACTGCCGAATATGATAACTTCGTCTTGAGCCATTCTTCTAAAGTAAATCTTCCTGGTTATTTGCGTCCCCTCCTAACCACATTTTTTTGCCTAATACGGAAGGTGGTAATGTTATTTTAGTCAACTATGATGATAAAATGTTACCTGCAATTGAACATTAGATCCAATACTCCTAGAAATTCGTAATTTCTTGGAGTATTGGAATGGAATGCACAATTTAAGTGCATTCACTCCCTCGCATGAGAGAGAAATTTCATGACTTGTCAGAAAGCAAAGAAATTCACGCTGTCAGATTAGTTTAGAAAGAAGCTGGAGGCTGTGATTTGTCTACTTATCATTCCTTGTGGTCCAAGTATGCTTATATATATTACCATAGCAATTTATATTAGGTTGCCAGAGAAACAATGAAGGGCGCTTCCCATGCTACCACTGCAGGATGAGTACCAAAAGTTAGGTATGGGAACTGGCACTGGACATAGCATGTGGCATTCTATAGAGAACGGCAAGCTCTACAAGATGAGTATCAGCAGATATCGGCAGTCGTGCTCTATTTAAAGTTCAAAGCAAAAAGAATATGTAAGTTTCTTAACATTCTGATCTTGGCTTAAAAATTCTACGAAGCTCGTCAGTTGTATTTAGACAACAACATCAACACTATATACACTATATATTCTGTTATGTGTATATACTATACTCGGTGTACCATGTAGCAATAAATTACGTTGGCAAAATTTGACATAGTATTTCGTTGTCAAATCAAAGGTTACCAAGAAATTTTGAAATCATGGAGAGATTCTTCTTCCTGTTTCTCGTTGTACTAGGGTGAGTCAAAAGTAATGAGAACTTCGTATCTTCTCTTGAACCTTTTCTCAAATTAGGTAGAATGTAAACAAGCAAATGCTTTATACGGTATCCGATACGGCTTTTTTCCTCTTTTCAGCAGTCATAATTTCCAACCAATTCACTTCGTAGTTGATGAAATATTTGCAAAATAAACCCAAAGTGTTTGCCGTTCAAAATTCTATGGTTTTTTTCAGGCGTGACAAAAAATTGTATATCATGGTAATTTGAAACGGTAAGCCCTTGAGTACTTTCCAAGATTTGTCATTAAACTATTTTCGAAGCTTCCAATTTCGAAAGAATTTGATGCATTTTTGTTTTGAGCGATTTTTTGAAAGGGCTTTTGGAAAAATGATTTTAAAAAGCCTCAAACTGCTAGTTTCGAAAGATTCAGGAGGTGGTTTGCATTAAGCAGGACCTGCCCACTCTTTAGATAATCAAATTTGTTTGAAACCCTCAAACTAAAAGTTCTGAGGATTAGCTAAACTCACTCAAACCAAAAATGACAAGTTCAAAATTTGGGGAATTTCTTCGACAACTAAGAAGTCAACTGGCACGTTGGCCCGGCTGCTGAAAAGAGAAAGAAAAGTTGTTGATTGTGGAAATTGTTTAATACCGTTCATGATACTCTTCTATCACTGTTTTACACAATTTGCTAAAAGCTCGAAAGGGTGCGCGAAAAGTTCTCATTACTTTTGATTCAACCTAATACGTTCAACCAAAGAATTTGTTGATTGTGGAAAGGCTGAATTGGTGCTGTAGTTTGATTGCAGCAAGAAGGAAAGGACAGTACAACGAGAAACAGGAAGAAAAGGACAAAGCGAATTTGCCCCTTATGTGAGTGTCTCAAAACAGCTCGTTTCTAAAGCATATATATTTTTTGAAAGCGACAATACAAGGAGGTTTCAAACATTTCCTATATACTGTCCTAACTGCTCATCTGCAAAAGTTATAGAGTTCATCCTGAAAACTTGTGACCCCTAGTAAATCGTCTGATTCCCTCATACAAAGTACTTTGAACAATGGAACACATTATTGTGTGCTTGCAGAGAACGAGGCAATCTCTCATCGTTATAGATATTCTTCAAAAAGGTTACAATTTTTCATTTTGGTTTTCAACGTCATTTGTGAACTGGTGGTTTTTTCACGGCGAGAGCTAATAAAAAAAAGTTATGTGAAAAGTGTCAAACTGGCCTGGATTCCTCTCACTTAAGCAGATAATTTTCAGCAATACAACTATAAATTTGGACACCTCACCATTAGCTCTAAAATGTCAAATTTAGCTTCAAAGCGCACAAAAATGCAGTTAAATCTCAGGCAGTACAACTATAAATCAGCACGCCTCATCACTAGCTCTAAATGTCAATTTTAAATTCAGGAACGCAAGAAAAATTTTTCTCGTATTATGTGGAAAATGAAGTTTTATAGAATACTTGCTAAATGTCCGACTCCTTGAGATCTTACTTGCAAACTTCTAACCAGCTTCAACTGCTGATATAAAGCTGTCAAACACTTATGTTTCTGCATCTTATCCGCTCATGCGACAACTACGACTTTCATATGAGGTTCAGAAGAGCTGCATCAGAGTTTAAGAAAATTTTCAGCGCATCACACGTTCTCTCAACAATATAGGATGAAATCTCTGTTGCACACATGAACCTTACATAACTGACTGCTCCGGGTTTTGGAGCATTTATCCAGTTAAGAGCTTAGAATAACAATGAATTGTCGTTTCTTCCAAAATCAGCGCATTTGTCAAGAAGTAAGGAAGTCGATAACTTTTATGAAGCAGCTACAACTTCTAAGGGAATTGATCCTTTCCGAGATGATCCCAAGCTCCCAACCGCTTTCCGGATTTACAAAGTGATGACTACTGATTATTAACCTTTGTTCTTCAACGGTGATGTTGCTTTAGATAATGGAAAACCATGAAAGGCGAAGGTAAATCCTTCTATGAAGCACAAAAAAGAAATTCAAATCTAAACTTACCTTTGAAAATCTATTATAGTTGTAATTGACTTTTTGACGTAACAAGGATGATATCGCTAGTCGATGCATGAAGTAGCCAAACAGTCTCCCTAGCAATACCGAAAATATCTTGATTTGGACTAAAGATTTGAGGTAAACGTAAGCACGCACGTTAGAATTATATTAGCAAGCTTGACAATGTCAGCAAGCTTCATGCCTTACTTCATTTTATCCTTCATAAGTGTAGGTCATATTGCTTCCAAACTACTTCTACTTCAAGCTTCTTGTAGTATACACATACTGAGT